CTGAGGCACGACTAGGGAAGAACCCCCATCGAAGAACCCCATGTTGGAAAAGCAAGGAGGCAATATGAACTTGTCATCAGCTTCACCCTCCCCCGTTAGATATACCTCCACGACATCATTTGTTTGCTGCCTCTTCTTAGTCAGGATGTCCTTTTCCTGTTGAGGAGAAGACTGGTCGCCCACGAGGAAGAAGAAGAGTCGAGGCCGAAGTCAACCTTCGAATGGTTCAGAATGTTAACGAGCATATTCTTGGAGCCCCTCTTCCCGCTTTTTGAAGCATTCCCTTTGGCCATCGCCATATTGAGCACACGTTCCTGAAGGTTTTCCATGTTACGTTTGACAAATGACGAACACATGTCAATATACCAAGAAAGAATAAACACGAACAAATTAAAGGAAAAACAACTACCTAAAAGCAATCTAGCTTCCTCAGTGGTATTACACTCGAGGAGCTCCTTAGTATTAATGATATGAGCCTCGTATTTGGCTTCACCCTACTCGTCGAGGACAATCTCCCCGTTCTTGGTCTGCTACTGAGCAGGAGCGAAGCCGTCCACGAACTTCACGATCTTGTCGTAGCTACGCTGGTCCTCGGGGTCCAGCTCGTTAGGCTTTGCGATATAATAGTTTGTGCTCTCCTCAAAGTGGGAGTTAGTCCATTAAAGGGTGAACTTCGAGACCCGCCTCGTTACCTCATTCCCATCCTCGTCAAGATGTACGCTTCCATCTTCCTCGAGTACAAGCACATGCTCGAACACAGAGTTGATGTCTTCCTGAGACGCGGGTTTGACCATATAATACCTATCCTTAAAGGTACGAACAAAATTTGTGAATGTCTTGAACAATTTCTTTGGCTGATTGAGGGACACCTAGTTGTGCCTCTCATGCAAGGATTGCCGTTGGAGGTGGAAACAATGAAAGAACAAAGGAATGGTGACGCAAATCTTGAGATACTGGCACACGGTCTCAAAGGCCCAGATGAATGCGATCGATTTCGAATGCAATTGTGAGGGTTCTAGCTCCACTCGGTCAAAAATTCCCACTTGAAGGCCGCTGAACAGTAATCGAAACCCCAACTTTTTAAATACATGCTCAAACATGGAAAAGAGATTCCTCGGGAAAGGCGAGCAGACATGCTCCTCCCGATCAGTCTTATAGACCTCCTAATTCTCTAAGCCCCAAGAACCTCAGCACCTTCCTCGACAATTATAAATGTCGTTTATGGGGAATCTGCGAAATATGAGGCTATCCCTCGGGGTTCCGACCCTACCCAAGCCAACATAGGATCGATAATGGTGTCGACCAGGTGGAGACCATCAACACTTCGAGCCATAGAAACCTGAAATGCAGAGGACAATAATGAATTCGATGATCAAATCAAATTCATCCTTCTACTGCAAATCAAGTGAAAGGGCGAAGGAAGGCACGAGGACGCTACCCTCGACCAAAGCCCTTACTCAACGGCAAGCGAGGAGAACACAAGGATCCTCTCCTCGGCAAACATCTTAGTCATGAGGAAAATCTTCCTCGGCGCAAGGATTCATCAGAAAATGCACGAATATTCATTATAAGATTCATGAACTTCACGAGGAAGCGCCTCTTCGACACATGCAGCTTCATCAGAAACTTATTAGCCTCGCAAGGAAGAGCCTCCTCGACAAAGAGCTTTATCAAAAAACTCATAAGCTCTACTGGCGCAAGTCATATTCACCGCCTGAATGGTGGAGCCGAAGTGGTTTTCTACTCAAAACCAGGCTATTCTAGCTTAAACTCTCCTACCATCGGTGTTTGGAAATGGCCAAACCATGACCAAACACCAACACCCGCCAGAACCCAACATAAAGAAAGGTGTGCTTTCTAAAAAAAATATACATCCTAAAATAAGCATGCATTGCAAACTGAAGATTAAATGAAGAAAATCTTACTTGATTTGAAGTGGAGATGAAGTTGATCTAAAGAAAGCCGGTGACGGTGGCGACGACGGCAGGCGGCGGAGAGACGTTATGAGGCTCGAAGGAAAGTAGAGAGAAGAGTGAATGCAAAAATGTGCAAATGGTCCCCCACTTTTTCTTATTTATAAACTAGAGCCAGAGCATAGGCAAACGTGTCTCAGCCTGGCTCATGAGTACCCCTACTCATAGGTGATAATTATGGATTAAATGACTCTGACACATGGCCTGAGCAAACAAAACGTTGTCTCTTCAGGTCCTATCAATCGTTGTCTCGAGGAGACGGAACATTGTCTCTTCAAGTCTCGTTGACCATTGCCTCGAGAAGATGGAGCATTTTCCCTTCAAATCATGTCTAGCACCTCTTGTCGGACACAGGCGAAGAACTTCCGTATTCATTCGCGAGCATGGCCCTGACGAAAATTTTGAAGCAGATTGATAACTCGCGGGCAGAGTCAAAAGCTCAACGCAAGCACATGTTAAGCTCTCGACCACAGTCTCTGCGCGACGTATCTTCCTCGAAAGCAAAATTCCACGAGTCGCGAGCAAAGCATCATCCCCCTGAGCGCGAACTCGCGAACAACATCCACGACAGCGCGAGCTCACAATCGCGGACCTCAAATGAAGGCTCTCCTTGCGCATAGTCAATTTCCCTTCCTCGACCCGCAGACTGACTCTAAGGTATTGACCCCAAGCTTGGGGCCAACGACTTAGAGGGCTCCTGTTCTAGACTGGACATGTGATTGAACCAACGTCGAGCACAACCCAACCCAGTCCTACGTCGAGGAAGGCCCAGAATCCTGGCCCAAACCGTTAGGGCATGTAGAAAATACATTCCCCACGTGCTCCTCACTCCAACCAACTCTGACGCCTAGTGGAACCTTTCTGCCCTTAGAAACAAGCAAACCCGACCACTAACCGGAGAATGCGAAGTGGTTTTCCCAGGACGATGAGCACGAGCTGCTTATCCCTGCATCCACGTAGGAATCTTGACAGTCATCCGTTGTGGGCTTGGACATTCAGCCCATAATGGAGACCATTGGCTTAGCGTTGGGGGCTCACTATAAAAACCATCCTCTGTAGGAGGGTCAGGTATTCTATTCTTTACCCTTTCTCACTCACCTCTTCACCCGAACTGACTTAAGCATCGGAGTGTCTGCAGGTACCCCTCCCCCTTTTCGTCGGCCGTCAAGACTGGAGACGTGTTTTTGTCCACCTATTATGATCGACTGGTTAGATCAGATTATCTCCCACTTCTCTCGCATCACTGGGTGAGAAGTTATGCATACCTACACTAAGAATTGGTCACGTGCTACCGCATTTATCATGTACTAGGGAAATAATGTGATTGAACCATTTAGAGTGTCTCTTAACCGTCATGCACCAAATGACATTTCCTTCTGCCCGTACAGCGGTTACCGTGAGACGCGTCAGTTGGACGTCATTTTCTTATACTCTGAATGATTGGCTTGTGAGTCATCTCTATGTATCCTTATCTACTCGAGCAAGTGATGCATTATTCTAAGACACCCCCGCAGAGTTCGTTCCTCCCACCGTTCACCGTAGAAATCTCGATGTGACACTTGGGAATTCTGAGAGTCACTTGGTACCAAAGGAGTATTGCAGAGTGCGAGCTCCTTTACAATAACTTATGTCAGCTACATGACATGGTTCTATATGGTGTCTCACTCTATCATGACACCATACGCTCCTGGAAGACCACTTAGGCCAACTAACCAGGAGGTACTTGAGGTTAAGGATGACTACACCGAGAACATGTAGGCAGTCTGTTAGCGTATTAAAGATGGGGAGATAAGACATAGATGCATGACTTTTTATGGAAGGTAGTCTTCAGTTGATCCTCGTAAAAGGCATAAATGTCGAGGCAAGAAATGTCTTAGACGGAGGAGAAACATGGGTTAAACATACCTAATAGTTTATGCTTGGGTGTATTATTTACTTTTTGCATTTTCGGACAAATATTGTGCATGGTCTTAACTTTTTAAACTTAGTTAAATTAATGTATGACATTTTACTTTCGTTTTATTTTAATATAATTTGATTTTATTTTAATATAACTTGACCGTAATAAATTACAATATTGAGACAATAATAATGTACTAAAACTATTTAGAAGGATTTTTAAAGATGCATCTCTAATACAATTTTCTAAAAATAAAAAGAACAATTTTCTAAATTAATCTCGTATTCAACAAACATAAAAACTTGAGATTATAAAGATTATTTCAATTTTTATATTAAGCTCCAAAAAGAGATATTTTATATATCAAATAAAAATTTATGAGTTTTCAAACACTTTTATGTACTGTAAAGTAATATTTCATGTGTCATACCCGTCGTTATACTTAAAAAGATTATTTCTCACGGGCCGCTAGAGTATTTGTTTTACTGTAATTTGATTTAACATTAATTTGTCATTATTTTGTTTTTAAAAAATTTAAAAAGTAATTTAAAGAAAGTGAATGAAACTGATCTTGATCTAAATCAAATCAGTTTTGTTTTTTAATTAATAAAATTTAAGACAGAACGATGGAATTATTGCTTCAGATTCTAATTCAAGTAAATGGCATAAGGAATATGCTAAAAATATGCTGATGCGTTATACTCCCGTGACACTTTCCACATTTTGTTTCCACCATAAGAGTAGTGATGCCTTTTCAGCATAATTTCGATGTCATAGTACAATGTTTTTGGTTTTTACGTGTATCTTTTGAATGTGTAAAATTATAATAGATAAAAAGTATTTAAAACCTGGTACATATTATAATTTACATGGCAGCTACGAATATGTTTATTACTTTCTAAAACCTGAAAAGCCATAAACCTTAAGTAACTCGTTTAAACAATTTATTTAATATTTTACATGGCGACTATAGAATTACAGAATGGAAGCAATCAAATATGTATGAAATGATAGTTGCATCTAGAAGACTAACATATCTGTAATGATAATACACAATTCATTAAGGTAAAATACCACATTGCAATTTGTCATATAACACTATCTGCAACAACTCAACATGTTATTCTCTACCCTTCAAGAGCAGCAATTTCCTCCATCACTTGAGCTTTGTCAGCTTCAAATTGTTCATCCTCTGCACAATCGCAACAAGCAAGTGATCATTGAAAAATATTTGATAAGATAAAGGCAACAACTAACTATTCAAGAGATTGTAACATTTACCTTTATCAATTTTGAATTCATCCAATAGTCTCAACATTTTACTTTTGTTTGCAACAAATATGCTGATAATATCGGGCGGTTTATTTTGGTTAGCAGCAAATAGCTGTTTTGACAAGGAAACATTAATAACTGCGCGGATCGAGAAGAATCACCACCAAATGTGTGCTATATAACATAACATAACTGTAATAATACCTTGAAAACGTGAAATGCTTCTATCTGTATGCTTTTGCTTGATTCCTGCAGTGAAATCAACAATGACCAATCATGCACCCACTTTGCACATTTATATAGATTATTAATTATCTTTCTTTATTAAACATATTATCATCTGAAACTAAACTAAAATATGTTTGGTTTTCAGATATTGATCCTTAGAGAAACTGCAACTATACTCAGAATGGTGACAGACAACATATTTTGGTGAATCTAATACATTTTTATATGCTAAAGGCAGTAAAGGATAGAGGAAAGGAATACATCATACACAGAAAAGAGGGAGTAGGGGAAGTACACAATAAAGGCAAGAAGGTAATTTAGTTTTATGTAAAGGACCATACTCTTAGAAGATTCATCAAAATCCTCAAGTTTTCTCTTGAGCTCACATATCGGGTCATTACGGATGAATTTGAACGATCAAGTAACATATCTCCCAGCAACTGTGAAAGAGAGTAAAAAATCAAACTTTTCCATGCATGACGGCAACATGAATAAATGTAATAAAAACAGCAATAAAGGTACATATTAATTATAACATCAGATTGCACAGACCAATGACGCAAATTTCACGACATAAAACAAAAGTAATCAACATCAACAACCAAGCATTATCCCACTAAATGGGGTTGTTTACAGAATCCACAGGTCTTTGGTCTACATGCTCAAACCACCTAAGTCTATTTTCCCAGCACTCTCTCTCATATTGTCATTTATAATCTTATCTCGTCTAGTCTTACCATACATCCAACGCAGCATCTTCATTTCTCTGCTACACTTAGTTTATTCTCTTGTTGGTTTTGAACGGCCCAACATTTTATCTCATATTACTTGTCGTATTACATTCTGCATAACTTGTGGTATTATATGATCTCCAACTTTTACCTCAAGATTAGAAACGTCTCTACTTTTGCTAAACTTACATTTCATATGCTTCACCTTCCCTCTTCCCTCTGCTTAGGCAAAATCCATATGATTCTAAGGCTCATCTCCAACCTCATCTAAATGCTCATTCAACTCTCCAAGTAGCACTATCATTTGCGAAAAGTATAAATCTTGCTCAGTGCTAGGAGCTAGTTCTTGGATGTATTCCGTAAATACATCAAAAACTAAAGTAAAAAGATAAAAATGAAAGGAATCATTGCGTTAAATATGTTTTTGATGACTAGCAGCTGTGATGGCTTTTTTACATTTCAGTAACAATCAATGTACTGCGAATGTATTATACACAAACGGGAAAAGATTCTATGATTCAAAGATAAATTTCCAAACACGAAGAATCTCCTATTCCTAGAGATCTGCATGCTTGCTTCATTCAATATTCATACAAGTTAGTAAGTGACAATAAAGTTTAGATGCAAATTTATACAGCACCTTAACAGCTAGGCGTCTTGTAATATAATTGGAAGATTCCAACAGCTTGGAGTTATAATCTGCAAAAAACTGGAAACAGTGACAACAAAGATGGTGAGTAACAGTTGAGAAATAATTGATGCATAATCATTTCAATATAGCAGATAAATATGAAACATATTAAATTAAATAACAAACTGACAAGTGATAATAAGATGATTGTATGCAAGCAGAAAGATTCAAAACATTACTCAAACAAGGGGTGGCTTAAAACGTTATTTCTAGATAAGCCAAATAAACATGAAAGTATAGTCAATAATCATTGTAAAAGTGATTAGTAGCCATAATCATGTAGTCAGAATCGTGATCGTCTGATTCTGCGATTCTGCCAAGCTGGGCGATTCTGCTATAAGGGGAAAACTGAGATTTGGTTAGGATTTGTCAAAACACGTAGAAACAGTGAGATCGTGCGTTTCAGCATTGCTGTTCATTTTTGTTTTTGTAGTACTCTGCCCCCGTTTATTTAGCGGAGCGGAGCAGCCGACCTCAAAATTGGGATAGCGGGATAGCGGCCGAGTGAGAAGATGAAAAGAGAATTTTGAGTTAGGGGTGGAAGCTTTGAGAAATGAAGTGAAATTCGTGAGAAGGTGGAAGATGGATCCTCTGTTTTCTAAGTTTGGGTAAACTGGGCAAAATTCAAGTAAAACACCTCCAACATTTATTTCTTTCTTTTAAGGGTAAATATGGTTTTTTGCATTTAAAACAGATAGCGGGTTGAAACCCGCTCTGGGCCAAGAAGCTCCTCTCCCGGGACCCGCTCCAAGCGAAAAAGCGTCTGCTATCTCAAATCGAGACGTGAACTTCTATGCCGTAGCGGCTGGCCATCGCTCTCCCGGGATAGCGCCGCTATTCCCTAGGATTGATAACTGAGTCAGAATCACAGGAATCGCGATCCTGTGATTCAGATTCTACTAAGCTTGATGATTCTGCTAAGGAGAAAACTCAGATTTGCGTAGTATTGCCAGAATTGCTGTCGAAAGACCTATAAATGGTGAGATCGTGCAATTTAGCATTTCTGTTCATTATAGTTTTTGCTGTTCTCTTCCCTATTTATTTCTCCCCTTTAATTCCAATTAAATCCCAATTAACTTCTGATACCCTTCCCAATATACCTACTTAGTTCCATTAATTTTTTTAAACTTCCCAATACAGCCACCAAAACATTTATTTCCACAGCCACCTGTCTATTCAATAGCTGTTTCTTTTCATTCCTTCTCCCTCTCTCACTAACTGCAGCAGCAGCATTAGGCACTAGCAAATCCTCCGCGGCAGTGGCAAAATTCATGAAGTATTCATATTTAGAAATAAAAGTCAGAAGTCTTGAGCAAAACATATTTGCAAGTGCCAATAAAATTCAACAAAATAACCTTGCTATCCTTAAAAATTTAAATATAATATCATTTACTGACGCGGCCGGAGCGGTCGCTTTGACGCGGTGTCTTTCTAAATCCAATCCCATTATTGCACTCGTTCCAAATGAGTCCCCAATCCCATTATTGGACTCGTTTCAGACGGGTCCCCCATATGTGACGGAACGACACTGCCTAACGCGATTTTTTTGATTTTGTTGTTCCGTGCCGAGATAACGGCCGGAACGGCCGAGTTTAATAACAGAGACATTAGCAACAAAATACAAACTCATAAGAACTTCTTAACATCAAGCATACCACCAAATGAATGTTATCTAGCAAAACGGTGTCAGACTAAATAAATTGCGGCAAGACAATATACAAGTGTATATAGATTAAAATTAAGATGCTGCTTTAAAGTTTATAGTAAGGTTGAAGATGGAACCTACCCACTCATAATTCTTAGAAAGAAATTCAGCTACAGTAGATTTATGCCGGGTCATGAGTTCCTGCAAGATAACTAATTATAACATTTACGATGTTGCAAAAAAGTGCATGCCACAAAATAAGTAACGGCCAGCATAAATTCTTTCAGATGATGCTCACCTTAAAAGTTGCTGCAGCATCTGCAGCAATGTCGAAATTTGGAAGTTGAATATAATCAAAGAACTTCTTCATATGAGGTGAGTTCAGAACATATCTGATACAAAACCATGAAGCATTAAAGCATCATCACAAGATGTGGGAAAAAGTTTATAAGACCCGGGTCGTGGTTCCTTTTCTAACCCTTCTTATTTGGAATAAATCTCTAAATGGTGCAATTACATAGATCTATAGGAACCAAAAGTTCCTGTTTATGAATAGAAAGAAGGGTTGTGTTTCTAGTAGTCAACATTAAAATCTTAGAGCTCGATAGTACGCACAAAAAATAATACAAAGCAATATCTGCGGGGGAAAAGAAAACAAAACTACTTTTTTTGCTTACTTTGCAACAATCTGGTGTCTTATACACTCCCTCAGCATCGCACCATAGTGTAAAGCCATATCAGTGTTTTCATACCTATAAAAAGAGACAATTGTCAGTAACTGCATGATGGAAACAATATTAAGCAATGAATAATCTAGTAAAAAGCTCAATAAGAAACAAACAAAAATCACCACAATAAGACAGACATGTAAGAATGTGACAAAACTTTATTAAAATTCAAAAAATCCAATGATCAAGGACATAGATTATTGTGTTCTAATTCACAGAGGCATTTATTTCAATGCTTGATTGGGAAACAAATGTATATTTCCATTCATTTGGAAAAACAGAAGAATAAACCATACTGATTTCAAAGCTTACTATAACAAAAAAGATTAAGCAACCAAAATTTTAATCCAACAGCTTCTTACCCAGCTATCAAAACATCCATAAGATCCATGTTTTTCTCCAGGTAATCAGATGCAATCAATTTAGACTGAACCGGTTGCCTTTGTAAATTTGCAACTACTTGAGTGGCATCTTTCCTGGCCTGCAAAAGCCCATAGCTTCAACTTTTAAAATTTGCATATAGCAATACAAAACAGTCGCAAGGATGCAATACGCTAACATCTTAACTAGCTTACACGTAAACCTAACATCATCAAATGACTAATTACTAATCAAAAACATACTAATTGAAATGCACGTATCCGGTTCTCAAAAATCATTAATACCTCCAAATTCAATTTTGGAATACATTTGATGAGCAGTCGCAGTGTGTTCTCCTTAAAGAACTCCTGAGTCAACTGCGCACAAGCTTCTGAGACTGGTTCAGAATCACTACTTCCATAAAGAATTGACTTTAGCTCCCTGATATTTTTACATAGCTCCACCATTTGCTGTAAGATGCATCACATAAACATAGTAAATATCAAATAAGAATGATCAGCTTTTCTGGCATATGCAGTCAGCCGTTTCTCACGAATTTACTCTCTCACAAAAGCATAATTACATATACATTGAACATTGACAGACAAAATTTACACTGAACAATTGAAACAAATAACTGCCAACTACATTGGTTAACCACATCTGCCATGTGCTCATTGCAAATTGGTGATAAATATTCATATAAAATCTATGAAACATGGACAACGGAAACACGGCACCGACACTGACACGTTGACGCTGCTAATAATTTAAAAAAATAATAAATTAAACGTAATCATAAGTGTCACTATACACAGACACATTTTTTTTTCAGTTGTGTCAATGCTACATGTTACAAAATTGAAAAGAAAAAAAAATCCTAAAGCAAAACAACAGCACAATCCCAATTTAAATATATAATATTATGATAAACACAACAGAGGAGACAATTGTAATTCAGAAACTAAAAATGCACATATCTCAGAAATTGAAAATTTCATCAACAATCAAAAATTGCAGCGAGTTTATTCATAATAATAAAAAAAAATACAAAAAAATCGAAATAAGAAATTGCGATCTAAAGATAATAGAACAAACTTTTTCTTCACGCTTGCTATCACGAGTTTCGATGCCGCTGCCATCAAAGAAGATAAGAAGATCTCTGGTTTGTCGGACAATATCAATAGGAGTGCGTGGCTTTGGCTTGAAGAGACCCTTCATCTTCTTTAACGTTTCTCAGGTTAGGGTTTCTGAATCAACGTGAAAGATGAATGAAGATGGTGAGAAAGAGATAGAGATTAAAGATAGAGAGATATTTCTGTTTTGAAATATTACTATTATTATTGTTAAAAGTTCAATTATTATTATTATTATTTATGATTTTATGATTCGGAATTTCTTTAATGAAAAAATGAATAATTATAGATAATTAAGGATAATCCATAGTAAAGATGCATTAGTATTAGAATTAAGTTAGGAGATTCAAGTAGATACTATTACCAGAAAAAACAAACTTACGTTTCATTTTTTCTCCATCTACGCCGAAATTAATTCAACCACTCTAGTTTCAGTAAATAAAAAAAAATTGGGAAAATTAAAATCGCTAAACTCGGATTAGTGCAATTGTTAATTCAACCACTCAAAGAATATGGATCATACGATGTATATAAGAGAGACGTTATTTTTTTGGGATAGTTTGTTATAAATTATTAAATTAATAATTTAAAAAAATTATACTTTTATGAGATGGTGTCCTTGAGAAAAGATTGTAACAAACATTTTTAAATCTTTTTGGCCAAGTTCTCTTACTCTCTTTTTCATTTGGTACGTAAATAATAGAAGGATAGGATGGCAAAACCCAAAAACTATACTAGAAAATAGGGCTGGAAATGAGTCGAGTCGAGTCGAACTCACCTCAGCTCGGCTCGACTCATTAAGAATTTTTCGAGTTCGAGTTCGAGTTCGAGTTCAACACGAACTTTTTTTTAAGCTCAAACTCGACTCGTTATGAATTGTTTCGAGTTCGAGTTCGAGTTCGAGTTCAACACGAACTTTTTTTTAAGTTCAAACTCGACTTGTTATAAGTTCACGAACAGTTTGGTTCAACTCATTAGGATCAGCTCACATGATTCACGGGCTTAAAAACTATTTTTTTTAATATATATATATTTTAGTATATTTGACATTTTAAATAAATATATTTTTTTTAAAATAAAATATTAAAATAAAATAAAAATTATCATATTGAAATTTAACTTTATCTTCGAAATCTACTAATTCAAAACTTACACAACTTTCAAGAGATACATTTGAGAGTCTAATTCAAAAACTACTAAGTTGAAGATTAAATTTGTCTAAGATTTAGATTAAATATTTAAACCTAATCTTAAAGACAGTATAATTATTCTCATATGTAATCGAGTTAACTCATGAACCTAACGAGTCGAACTATGTAGAGTTCAAGTTCAGCTCATTTAGTTAACGAACTTAATTTTTCGCTCATACTCAACTCATTAGGTTCATGAACCTAGTTCAACGATCTAATTGTCGAATCGAATTTCGAACTATTTTCAAGTTGGTTCGGTTCATTGCCAGCCCTACTAGAAAATAATAAGAACAAAAATGAGGGGGGAGATTTTGCCGAAACCTCACATTTATCTAACCCTAAAATTAGAAAAGTCTACCTTATTTCTATTAAAATCCAAAATAAGGTATGTATGTATATTCAACCATGTGAAATTAAAAACTAATAAATCTAGGTTAGCAAATTTTTTTTTTCCTTTTTCTTTTCCTGATACTCTTTATTTATTCTTCAGCCAAAATATCAAATTAGTAATGTGCCTTCTTTAGTATTCTTTTTAAATAACATAAAATATATATAAAGAAAAAAGAAGGATTAAAAAAAACTAGGTCAAGACTCTAAATAAGATGAGAATTTAAAGAAAACAAACCTAAGTTATTCTTTACAAAATTTGTTCTTAAAATATGAGAATTCAGAATACTATTGTTTGAAAAATGAGTATATGAAGAATTGACCTTTTTGATTTTTTTTTAACAGTTTATCAAAATAGAGTTTTAGAGATGGTTGTCCATTAAATCAATATTTTAAAGAGCTTTAAGTATTATAGTGCATTTAAGACAAGGATTCTTATTTTATCAAAACTTATGATTAATCCAATTGTTAACTCAAAGTACAAAGCATAGAATTAAACATTTACTGTCTGCTTTTAAAATAAATAAAAAAGCAATCAAAGATGAAAGAGATTCAGCCGATCCTATAATCAAAACTTATAGACCTCGCTTAGAAAATTTTCAAACTTAATGTTATACAGCATTCCAACTGAGTGCTATCAGAATCCAAGTATCATGTTGATGCCCCATTCAAATCCTAAGCAGTATTCATCAACAAAGACCATGTTCAGATTTTTACGAATAAAATCAAATCCTGTGATAGCTAAAGGTTTTGTAAATATATCAGCCCATTGATGATTAGTGTCAATAAACTGAATATTTATTATCCCTTTCTGAACATAGTCCCTAATAAAATAATTTTATTTCAATATGCTTTGTTCTAGAATATTGAATCGGATTCTTCGATAAACAAATAGCAGCAGTGTTATCATAATAGATAGGAATAGAGTTTCCAAAAATCTGATAATCTTCTAGCTGATAATTTATCCATAGTAGTTGAGCGCAACACTTAGCAACTGAGATATATTATGCTTCTGCTCTAAATAAAGCAATGGTTGCTTGTCTTTGGCTAGCCCAAGATATAAGGTTTTCACCTAAAAATTGACAATTTCTATGTGTGGATTTTCTCTCAATTATACCTCCGACATAGTCACCATCACAGAATCCAACTAATTTATAATCTGAGGATTTCTTATAAAGAAGTCCAAGATTTGTCGTTCTTTTCAGATATTTAAAGATCCTTTTAACAGCTGTTAAATGAGTTTCTCTAGGATTTGATTGAAATCTTGTACACAAACATAAGCTGAATAAAATATCTGGTCTGGAAGCAGTGAGATAGAGTAAGGAACCTATCATACCTCAATATTTAGTTGGATTCACTTTGACACTGCATTCTTCATTATTTGCAGGTAGGATGAATAGGAGTTGACATGATTTTGCAATCATTTATTGAACTTCTTCAAGAGTTCTCTTGTGTCCTTTGACTGATGAACATATATACCTTATTTCTTCTTATTGATTTGAATTCCAAGAAAGTATTTTAGTTCACCCATCATACTCATCTCAAATTCAACCTGCATGATCTTTAAAAATTCTTAACAAAGAGATACATTAGTAGAACAAAAAATTAATCATCAATATAAATTTGGACAATTAAATTTTTTTCCTTTAGAGTTTTCTTAAATAGTATAATGTCAACCTGTTTCCCTTGAAAAATGGAAAACAACCGTTGATCTTCCAAATCTAACTTTGGTGACTCACATGATCGATCAAATTGATCCTAAGACATGTGCTAAAGGTTATGTTTTGAAATCTATCTAAGTTACACACTTCGACAATGTTCTAGTAAAAGACTTTAATCATAAAAGTGTTTGTTCGACTGAGGCAAAAAAAAAGAGATAGAGATTATAGGGAAAAGAAGTAGAGATCTTAGACAAGACTTTAGAACGAAGGTAAAGTAAAGTGCATAGAAGGGGGTAGATTGTAGAAAAAGTAAAAGAAAACTTTGTAAAGTTAAGCACATAAATTAAACTTCATTGAAAGTAAAGATGGTGTGTTTACATAACGTACATTCTCCTTGAACTCGTTTCTCTACACTCGGATACTCTGAGTAATTTTAGGAGTGACTTGTACAAATAGTAAATTACAACACACTGAATTCTATGTCTAAAACTCCTATTTATAATAGTAGAAATAACTACCAATAACCTCCTAAAGCCATCAACTTCCGACAAGTATCATAATGCATGTAGTCCTTTGTCAAACGAACACCACTTGTCCCTCTTAGTCATAGGAAAGCATAACTACTTCCTCCATTATTTGAATTTCAAAAACTTCACTAATCTCCAGCCAACATCTCGGTCGAAGGCTACTTTCTTTAAGGGTCAGAATTTTCTCTAAGTCCTACAACTTTTGACTTCCCACTCGAAGGTCTCATGCCTCGAAACCTCTTTACCTCTCAAAAGACAATATATATATATATATATATATATATATATATATATATATATATATATATATATATATATATATATATATATATATATATGAGGCGTCGAATTTGTGAGCTAACAAATTGCCCCCCAAAAATGTCTTTTTCGACCTTTACGTTGAAAAAAGAACCATTTTTTGACAGCGTCCAATTCGACACCGTCATTTTGACCTTCACACAAGCATTAATGTGATTGACTACCTGCATCTGGGAAGACAAGAGAAGAAATAAAAAAGAAAAGGTAGGAAACTGTTCCGTTATCCCTGCGACGTCCCTGACGTCATGGGTCATTATGGAAGATTTCTTGGAACTCACAAAAATCCTCAGACCATCATCATCCTTTTTAGGGCCTAAGACAATCATGGGTATAGGTAGTAACTGCCATTGCCTCATCTTTTTATCTTAGGACAACACGTGGCCCATTATCTCTAGCCACTAGTGATGAAAGAAAAAGACTTTTGATCTCCAAACACCTTATAAATAGTTCCTCATAAATCATTTCCAACCTTTCCACTCTTCAGCAAATACCCACGTATTTTTTCAAGCATCTTCTAACTCTCAAAAACCCATTTCCTCCCTGAACCTCATCAATGGCATCATCTATGGCTGGAAACCAAGCTCAAAAGAAGAAGTCACAAATAAAAGGGCAATCAACTGCACCGCTCCTCCCTCCTTTCACCACACTGAGTGGGCCTAAAGTAGTGAAGAACCAGCAGTTCATCCCTGAACCCCTACTAGAAGAGAGGAGGCATTTATACGAATCCCAAGTAATAATTCTTGTTACTGCTGCAGGTAAACCTTTGGCTATGTCTGGTCCGTTGTCCCCATTGGGTCTTAACTATTCCAACCTTAGTGACTTTCCCCTCCCTACCGTAAGACCAAACCCTTAGGGCAAAAAGATTCCATCAAACCTTCTACTAAGGGCCCAGATAGTTTAGCACTCTACAATGTAGACCTAAAATACCTTAACGGTGAAGCCAGGTTATTCAGAGCCACCCCCTACTTCAAAGATTTTGATCTTTGCTTAAACTGGCTGACG